GGGGAGGCGCAGGTGCGGGCGGGGCCGCAGCTCTTTGGGCCCTGCCCCTGCGAAGCCCACGAGGAGCCCCCAGGCCTGGGTCCCTGACCACCCCCCTCCTCGGAAGGGACCGGGGCTCCCGGGATGACGCCGTGCAGGCCTGGGGCAGAGGGCCCGGGCGAGCCGGGCCTGAAAGCAAACAGGTGGGCAAAACCAACGGAAGTAAATAAAGGAAACCGGTGGGAGCAGGTGACAAGGACGCAGACCGGTGGTCGAGATAAAGCGCGGCTTCGTGTGAAAGGCGCTGACTGGGACACCTGTGCTGCGCTCAGGTGGCAGGAGGCCTCTCGTTTTAGCAAACAGCACGGCCACCTGGCCGGCTCTGCTCCCTCGTTGGTCTCCAAGCACCAGCTCTGCCTGGGCCCCGTGACCCACAGGCCGCAGCCTCCCTGTCACCCGGCTGCCCCGCCCCCTCCTCCTTGGCCCCACTCACTTCTCCTCATGGATCCGATAAGCTGCTGGGCCTCAGTTTCCCAGACTATAAAATGGGTGTGGAGATGGGCTTACCTGCCTCAAGGGACGGACAGGCGAGGCGGGACGGCCGGCACCTCCTGGGAGCCAGCCCCCTGGTCCCGGCCCTCTTGGTCCCACCATCCCCACCCGAGCACGAGGCCCAGAGCGTGTCCTGGGCAATTCCGCAGCCACCTCTCCCCCACCGTCAGGTCCCCTTGCAGTCGCCTCCAAGAAACCTTCCATGAGCCCCCCGCCGACCATGGTGTCCATTAGCCCCGAGCACTCGGGCCATCGGGGCCTCCGGGACCATCCACGGAAGGGACGGTGCTGCCTTCCCTGGCTGACGGGATCCCTGTGTCAGTGTCCTGAGTCCCCGTATAAAGTCCCGCAGACGTCAGGTTAAACCACAGACGTGTACTGTCCCCCCGTCCCGGAGGCTGGGGTCCGAGATCCAGGCGTGGCAGGGCCGGCTCCTCCCGAGGCCTCTCTCCCCCGGGCAGGCAGACGCCCGTCTTCTCCCCCTGTCCCCACACGGTCGTCCCTCTGCGTGTCTGTGTCCTGGTCTCCTCTTCTTATGGGGACACCAGTCACATTGGACGAGGCCCACCCTGGTGACCCCATTTCCGCTCGATCGCATGTAGATTCCCTGTTTCCTAAGCAGGTCATGCTCAAGGGTCCTGAGGGGTAGGACCTGAATGTGGGAGTTCTCAGGGGACACCATTTGGCCCATGACCCTCTCGGAGACCACCTCTCTCTCCAGCCCACATGGTTGCTTCTCCTGACCCCCAACATTCTTCTCCTGGATCCCCAAACACCCTGCGCACTGGCTGCCTTCTGCCTCCGCCGTCATCCCGCCTCCGACCCAAGAGCCTTCCAATGGCCCTGCCACTCTGCCTGGCCTTTGTCCCACCCCCAAGGGCAGCCTCTGCCCTGCTCTGGCCCTGGGACCCCGAGTGTTGACCCGAGTGCTGGCCGGTGATGACCCCGCCTGCTTGGGCAGCCTGGCTGGTGCTCAGGCCTATGACTTAGGACCTCGGTGCTCCGGCCGGTTTGCCCGCCAGACGTGCTCTGTTCCCCCCCACCCCCACCTGCTCTGCCCTGGGTGCTGACCACTTTCCCATCCGGACTTTCTTCAATCACTCCCCCCACTCATCCCGCCCCCTCCCTGGAGTCTCATCTTTTGATGTCACGAGCGTGTGCCCCTGACATTGCCCTCCCTGGGGACTCACCTGGGCCTTTGAGGCCACCTTCCGCAGGTGCCCAGGTGCCCAGCTGCCCCTGGACGGTCTGTGTGAGGCCCCATAGCAGCACAGTCAGTGTCCCTCTGCCCCCTGCCTCGCACAGACCCC